TGTTTCTCTACATGATCTATTTCCAGTAATTGCACTAGTTTGCTTTCTCTGTACATTTTGGTCTTAGACGTTGAACCTCATATAATTCTGGTTGATGTCATGCATAAATACTGTTAGTTTTGTTGGACTTGATTTTTATTCTGCGGGTGTTTTTGAGGTCTCTGTCATCAACCCTGGAAGTCATGTTTGCTACTGCCACATCGGATAAAGCACTCAGTTTTTAAAACCCGTAACATAAGTAAATTATGTAAAAATATACATACATGGACTGTTCTCTCTGTTAAATACCCTTCTCTTTAATTGTGTTCACTATTGCACAATGAAGACTTCAGCAAGAGAGCCAAAAGCTTGCAATTGAAGAAAAGGATATATTACATGGAGAACAGTATGTGTATTTGTTTTACAAAAAGTACTCATGTCAACTTTATGCAGCATGCAACTCGTATGAATATTAGAAAAATATTCTTTTATGTAAATTAGTAATACATTTAATTTCTTTAGTGCATATTGCTGTATAGAAGACATTTTAATACTAGAAATAAATGATTTTATATCACCAAATTGTTGTTTTTATTTAATTAGACACTCAACATTTTGTTTTATAGCTTCTTCAGGAGCATTCCATTTAAACACAAACAGAAACTGACAGTACAAATCTTCAAAGAAGCTGTAAAGTGAAATGTTGAGTGTGTGACTAAAGTGTGTTATAAGGTTGTTTATTTTTAGTATTAAAATTAGTAATATAGGATGAGAAAATGCTATATTTAACAAATATCTTTTGTTTTATAATTTTTCTTTGACTTGAAATTCGTATAATTATTTTGGTAATTTTAAACGACAGTGTAAATAGTGCATGTTCTTATAATTGAAAGTTCTTGCATAAAAGTTTTTTCATGAAAAGAATTGGATGTCAGTCTGATTATGTTAAATATTTTAGTTGCTTTCTCAATAGCTTTTTTTTTTGAAGATCTCCTACAAATTGTCGAAACACATTTTGAATTGTGTTAGTACTTATGTATTTATATTAATTCAAACTAAGTAAGAACTTAGTGGTTGAGTTTGTATTGTAACTAAATTATAGTTGAATTCTTATGATGACTTTGTGTTATATTAATGGTTTTTGTAATGTCCTGACCTAGTGTTCAAGAGTCAAGAAATCAAACACATTTTATCTATACCACACCTGTATTTATAACAAAATGATTGTTATTATTCTATGTGTACCTTCATTTAATATATTTTGAGTTCATCAAAATGTGGTGGACAATTTTTACTATTCAAAAGCACCAACTAATATTTTTATCCATATTTTTACTGCTAAATTAGAAGTTGAAACTTTTTATACAAAGTTGTGTTCATTTCACAGCTGTAATTTAGGATGAACTACCTGTAAACAAAACATCCCCATAAAGTTAAGCAATACAATTTCAACTATAATAGTTTTAGAAGTGTTTGAGTTTATCTAACCGTAAAAAAGCTATAATTATAATTATAACATTTTAGAAGATATCACTTGTATGAAGTGGTATGGATTTTTCTTTATTAGACCTTTATGTGGAAAGAAAGTAAAACAAGGGCATTGGGGAAGAAAAAATGCTTCAAGGCAGCAAGTATCTCAGGACTCATCATCTTTGAACTCTCAGTTTGAGAAGTTTGGTATTACAAAAAACATTGTAGGTACCAAACTGAATGATCAGTTGGGTTTGATCCCTCCTGGTGACAGTGGGTACAACAGTGGAAGTAACCACTCCCAATTTGGGGTTGGAGATCAGTTTCAAAATAATGTTATGATTGAACATTCTGCATCAGAAGAGATTAAGAGACTAAAAGCTGAAAGGGACTACTTGCTCAGAGAACTTACTTGGGAAAAAGAAAAATTACAGGTAAGGGTGTTTCCTTAAGGTTGCCAATATATATATCTATTATTTATTTCATTGGAGAGAAAGGTCTTAAACAAAAAATAAATAAGCTTAGTATTGAAACAAAAGATGCAAACAAAATGAAATATTGCGAACTGAAATGAAATTATTTTCCAAAAAATACATGTATAGTACTGAAACTGAAACAGCCATAAGTCAACACATACATTTAAATTATCAGTTATAGCTATGTAGTTACTCTATATGGCTGATGTTGTTGTTGGTTAGTTTATTTTTGAATATGAAATAAACAGTTTATCTGTAGAAAATTACTTAATTCATAGTTAAATGCAAATAATGTGTATATCTACAAAACAGTTTATGTATGTATCTTTGTATGTCCATGATAAAAGTTTTACAAGTGACCAACTTCTGATCACCATGAAACTTTCAGGCATTCTTGATTATTCCCCTTTATCTTTTGTGGATGGCTAGGCTGTTCTGTGTATGTCATGACATTTTAAGAGTTACTTTCAAAGTCAATTAAACATTATTATTAATGTATTTCAATACATTTAACATCAGAATGTAGTTTATAATTCATATTTTATGTTTTAATTTTTGAATTTCAGAATAACATTTTATGAAAAATTCTCAATCTTGACTTTTACTGTCACATGATGTGGGAGCATTCTCAAGTTTTCCCCAATTCAAAGGTCGATTTTATATATTATAATGTCTTCACCTACTGAGATATAAATAAATTTTTCAAACTCTTGACAGAAGCCTTGCCCATCTGACCCTAATTCCCAAAACAGTTTTAAAAACCACTTCATCTTATTTGACACACATGTTTATAACCAATATAAAGAGCTTATTATAATTTACAAGTTCCCAATGGTTCTTTTGAAATTAGGTTTAATATACTATAACAAGATGATTTGTAACTTGGTAGTAAGGGAAGTTGTCACTCACAGCATTTAACAAGTTGTATAATCTAATTACATTTTAATTAAAAAAAGACATGTTATAGTTAGTTTTGGTCATTCTGTTTCAGTGAATTATGTATTATTTATGTTTCAAAATGTGCATTTGAAACTAAAATCTTTTCTGCTAAGAAGTTAGAGAAAATTTAACAAGGCTTAGCTCAGTGGAGGATGAGTGCAAACTTTACAAACAAAGTACAAGCATAGCATGTCAGCGTTTGGGGAAGTGACAGTTTGTTTGCCTTGTGATTCACGTGTTTCATGCATGAATAAACTGTATGCCATACAAGCCAAGCAATAAAACAATAAAATTAAAAATAAACTTTAAAAAAGCAAACTGCAGAAATTGTGAATAACATGAATACCTATTTTTGAAATAAGTTAATTATTAAAAGAAAAAGAGTTTGTTTTATTTCATAATTTTCAAAATTTCACTGCTGTGCACAGATTCACAAAAAACTCGCTGGTTCATTGGATTAAAAATAGAACAATAGGGTAATTTATTGATTTTCTCATTTTTGCTAGTTTTGTAGCCAGTTCAATTTTCCCACTTACTACTGCCTTAATGCAAGTGAGTGATGCACATAGTAGGTAATTATCTCTTGAGAAAGGCAGAATCTGAAACATAGGATATTAAGAAAAAATTGTTTAGGATTTTATGGTGATGAGTTTTATAAGCAAAAATTAATAATATTATGGGTGTTATTCAAGTTGTCGGATTAAAATGTTTCTGGAAATATTTTTTCTTTTAAAAGGGTGAAATGATATAATAGTTATTAATGTTTCAAGTACTTTGGCAGTATGAAAATAAATACTTCTTGCCTACTTTTAAATGTAACTAAAATATTTTTTAAACATAGTTTTTTAAATATATGTAGTTACAGATGAGTTTTTGTTACAGTATTTTGTATAAAGTCCCATTGCATTTTTTTATATAATTACTATAAAGTAAAAAAGTAGTAATTATAAAATTAAATACAAAGCTTTCTTGAAGCTGGAGAATCTTTTGTGGCTATAAATGTATGAGTTTAATTAAAATTGTGAAGTATAATATCTTGAGTTGTTAGGGAATACTTTGCATTATTGAAGAGTTTTTATTTTATATTGATAGGCTATGAAAAATGAACTTGAGAAGAAGACTACAGATGACATCTCAAAAAAGGTGTGCTGTTTGAGACTTATTTTATTATAGAAGAAAGTTTATCATTCCTTACAAAGTATCAGTGAAACTTGTTACTGGTACTCATATTAACAGTAACCAAGTGCTTGTATATAATATATAGTGATATCAGCTGTGAAGTTTATGTAGCTTTTTATTTGATTAGCCTTTTAAAAAATAACTAATAGAAGCTCAAATTCATTACAGTTGTTCATTTTGTTGTCTGCATGCAATATTTTAAATCTTTGATTTGAAGTAATGCTTTGTTTGCCACAATAGAAATATATAAGTTTTTATTAAAAATACTTTTACTCTTCTTCTACAATTTGTTATATGATAATCTCTATAAAAACCACACTAACATTAACAGCCTCTATCTCTAGTACTAGCTGAAATTCAGCTATGATCATAAACAGCACCATGCATGCCATTGCAATGTAACAAGTTTTTTTTCTGTTTTCATAGCTTAAATCAATAAGAAGAAACAGGTTTTTATAAAAATACATTATTTTCATATCTGTGTTGATATTTATGTGCTGTTACTCGTTTTTGGTATTTTAATGCTTAGAACTGATGTACTGCTATATGTCTGAGACAATAACTTCTCTACACATTTTAGCTATCTTCCTTGTGTGTGTGCCTCAGAGATTTGCATTCCACTAGCCATAAGGTAACTTCCACCTAATTTCATTTGATTTAATGTCAGTTGTACTGGTGCATGATGACCCCATCATGCAATGAAAGACCCCCACCAATGGGAGAGCAACATACCTTCATGAATAATAACTCTTCTATGCAATTTCACTCTTCTCCTCTGCATTGTATTGATTAGATATGTTTAAATTTCTGTCTGAGTACAAATCATTGAGATTTGCATTGTCAATGAAACTTTGTTTTTCATTTACTTTGTCTTTTGTTTCAAAAGCTTTAATTTTTTTTATCAGATTCTCAAATGGTAGTGATTTATACCTATTCCTGAGTGATATTCACACTTAGACCTTATTTCTACAATGACTTTTGGAGGCTCATTAATTATCACATTCATTGCAGCCATTGCTCAGTGTGTTGTGGGCTTCTTATTGGGCTTCCCATTCCCATACTGTTAGCCAAAATTCTTTCTTCTCAGTCAGGAATGGTTTATTGTTTTTTTTTTCACCAGGTCTGCAGTTGACCATGGTCAATATGTGAAACACCTTTCCACTTATCTTCTCAGCCCATCCTTCATTTGTTTTCTATGTTTCATCCATTTTTTTTCAAATTTTTCTACTCCCTGCTCTTCGCTCTGAGATTACTTTGGCCCTTTTGTATTCATTGGTATGGTGAAGTCCTTTGCTTTACATATTCATGGCCTGGGGCTGGCATTCTTTTTCATGTACTATTTACTTCTGTTAGCTCATTATCAGATATTTCTTCTCCTCCCACTTTCCTTCTTTTACAGGTAGCTACTCAGTTAGAGGGTTGGAAAGTTATCCCGAGATCTAAGTCCTTTCTCATGCCAACTCAGTGTTTGGTACTTTTGGGGCATTTTCTTCTTCTCTTGTCTCAACTGCTTTTAGCCTTATCATCTTTACCTGTGAGCTATGTCATATCTAGTCATTAGGTTTTTACACCTCTCAGTCTCTTCCTAAGAGGTCCTTTAGTTTTTTTGGGACTCTGGCTTCCCTAGAACCCCTCATCCTTTTGGAGGATGCACTCATGTGTCTCCTAAAGTAGACCTTGCAGACCCATGGAATTTTCATGGTGACTGAACCATTACAATACTCCTTTTGACATTCCCTTACTGTATCTTAAACTGGATCTCTTTCTTCATCAATGCTTTCCTTTCTGATTGAGACACATTTCTAGATGAGGGCAGGACTTCTGACATTTGATGTTGGACAAGCATTCACTTCACATCAACATGCTCAATCTTCTCGCCATTTGTTGGGCATTTTCCCATTCTTGCTCTTAGTGGTGGATAACTTGGTCATGTTTTACTCAGTTTATTCTATGGTAATTTCTTGCAAGAACCATTCAAGAGGCAACCATTCCAGAACCCTTCTTGCCTGTTGTTTGCGGGGACCTTAAATCTCTGTAGCAGATCACATCTCTCAGCTAGTCCAAACTCTTTCATGGAGTTTGTTTTTGTCAGTCTTGTTACAATTGACATTCAGACCCCCTTTCCTCTCCCTAATATCCTCTCTTTTTCGTTTCATACATCCTTTCTTCATCAAGGGATATTTTCCCTCCATTCTCATGCATGGAATTTCTACGATCTGTTGCACATTAGGCTGGACTTTCCAATTGTTTGGCATTCTTCTTGTCATATTATTGTTGCACTTCACTGTCTTTATCTATCAATGATTGTGGTGGGCTTTTTGTCATTGATTCTTCTACCACTTTCTTCCTCTTGGCTTTGTGCTGTGAACCATCTTTCTGCTCCCTTTACCTGGCTGTTCGTCAATGGTTTGTCAGTCTCTGCCTTTACTAGTTTCTTCCCTTGTTCTCTCTACTCTGTTCTGCTCCTTCATTTTCCTCTGTCCTCCATGCCCAATCCCTATGTTTTACTGAGGTTTTGTACAATTTCACATATATCCCATTCAAGTTGTTGACATCTTGCCTTTTGTATCATCTTTCTCTCCTGATTTGTTTTCTCTTTCTTCTTGCTTGTAATTATCATTGTTTAGATGTCTTTCCTATAGATGCTTCTCACATCCTTTTTCACCACACTTATATACTCCTATCCCCAGACCGATCTTTCCTTCCTAAGATTTCAACCTCTTGGGTGAGTAACTGTACTTCTCTTGTATCTCCCTTCTGTTTCTCACTTGACCTTTGAACTCGGTTCAGCTCCTGTGTCTTGTTTGGGCTGTTTGGTGTGCCATATCATAGACCTCTCCCTTTTGGGTTCCCCCACCTTCATCTGTCCCTACCTGAGACTTCTCTTTTTCCAAGGAACTATTTCCTTCTACACTTACTGTATGGGTCTGTTGACTCCTTTAGTTGGTACTTTCATCTTGGGACTCGCAGACTATTTTAAATTTCCTCACATTGGAATTGTCACCTTTTTCGTTCTCTTGCATCTCTTTGCCGGCCATAGGATGATATCCTCCAGGTGGGTACGTGGATGACTCTCCACATATTTGTCTCCTTCTACACACCTAATGGCTTTTGGTTTTCACTGATTGCAATTTCTCATTCACTCCACTGTCTTTGAGAAGAATATGTACTACTTATCTTTCATAGCCCCTTTTCCATTTCATAGGATGTCACCAGGTGGCTTATGTTGCCTCCAAGGGTATACTTATGCAAAATCTGCATTGACCCAGGATAATGGAAAGAGCTCATCACATTTTATGTGGCTCTACCAGTGCCCACTGCGAGATGAGGTGTTCTGCAAAACCACTTGAGGTATCTTTGCGGTATACATATTCATTCAGTTGTCTGATCCAAACTGTACCTTTTCCATGGACTATCATGGAAAAAGCCAACACCAGGAAAGTGTTCTGCCAACTTCTTTGGCTTGTGCTTACTGGCTTTTAGAAATAGGGTTTTGTGGTCATTCATTGCACTATCTTTTATAGAAGACCTTTCTGGCTGGGGTCTGATGGGTATCTGAGCACTTTTCCAGTTCTCCCCAACATGAATTCTCCCTCCTTTATTGAGTGGAGCACAGGAGACCCTTGTCACTTACCAGTTTATAGCTGCTTGGGTGGTGGACCATGGAGAATTCTCACTGATTGGGTTCAGCAGCAGAGGCTATTCAATCAAGTTACAATACTATGAGAAGTGAGTTGGTGGTGTCACTGTCAGTATAGTGCAGGTCACCCCTCTGAAACATAACTCTTACCACTTTTGCCCTTATTCTGTAGGCTGAGTCTGTTCAGTTGAGTCAAGGTGAGCACACAATGTACATCAAACATGATTTAAGACTAATGTGCCATCCTTCTGCACCCTGTGTTTGTTCAATGGAGTTGAGGTGAGCACACACACTATAGGAAACCATGCTGCATCACTTTAGTGTCCTCCTCCCGAAGCTTCAGTCTGTCCCATGGAGTCTGTTCAGTCTAGTTGAGGTAAGCACTCAATTTACTATACCAAAAAATAAATATCTGATGTGTCCTCCTCCTGCAGCCAGTGTCTGTTCAGTAGAGTTGAGATGAGCACACACAATATGTAACCAAACTGCTTAACTAAAGTGCCTTCCTCCTACCACTGGAGCCTGTTTTGTAGAAGCTGTTCAGTAGCGTTGAGGTGTGCACATAGTATACGAATCCATACTACATAACTAATGTGCCTTCTTCCTGTGGCTAGAGTCCATTAGTAGAATTGAAGTGAGCACACAAGGTATGGTCTGAATATTCCCCAACCACATTACACATATTGGCTTGCCGACTGGTTGTGTGAAAGTGCTTGAAAAGTAATTTTCTCACTCTACACATCCCTGCAATAAGTGAGGCTCTTTGGCCTCTTCCCTCCCTTACATTCTGGGTGAAAAGTCTCCCATAGGTGTGCCCATATTGGAATCCCTGCCACTGGGTGTCAAACTCCATAGGCTTCCCTTCAGGTACTTTCTCAAAGGAGCTCATCTAGGTAAAATTTTGCACCGGCCCCTCCACCACTTCAACATGGGATTCTACCTAAACTATGTGAGAGATGAGTTATTGTCTCAGAAGTTAATATTTCCGTAATCTGAAAATGTATTTACAATAGATACTTCTGCACACATTCCCACCCATCCTCCCCACTTTCAGTACACATTTTTTTGCCTTGTCAATGAATAAAGTTACCATGTGTGCAGTTGTATGGGGAGAGTTATTGCGCCTGGAGGTGTGTTGCCCTCCTATTGGTGGAGTGCTTTTATTGCATGATGACATCACTATGTAGCATTGTAGTTTACATTAAGTCATGTGAAATTAGTTGGAGCTGTGTCAAGGCTAGTGGAAGATGGCTAACCTGTGTGTGGAGGTATCTATCAAAAATACATTTTCAGGTAAGGAAAATGTTAACATTTATTTTGTGCTTTTTTTATCCAGACATTTTGTGTCTAATGTTTTTCTTTACAAGATTAAACTTCATAACATATTGTATGATACTTTATTACACTTGTCTTTAGAAGCTATTGAGTTACTGTGAAACTTCTAAATGTAGTTTTTGTGGAGATCATGTATTGCAAAAGGATTACTGTAATCTGGTTTGAGTTACAATATATGAAGTCCATTTCATATATATATATATATATACATACTGAAGACTTGGACAAGGTAATGCATGAGGATCTTTATAACATATGTAAAATTGCAATAATAATACTTAAGACTGTGCTTTTTATTATCTTTTAATATTCAACAAGAATGAAGAAAATGGTGTGTTGTTCCAATAGTTCACGGTGATTTTGGAGAAAGCGAGCAAAATTAAGTCCTTACGTTGTCAGTTGATTTATGAGAAGGAACAACCAGATATCATTGACCTGAGCATTTCTACAGTCCAGAATTTTCAGAAAGATCTGGCATCTTCCAATGACAAGGGTGTGCAAGAGGCTGTTCTAGAAGCTCATAAGACTTACAATACGTGTCAAGCAAAACTGAGATCTTCCACAAACAAGGTTAGTCTTTGTTAATGAACTTAATACTTTCTGGACCAGTGGACTGACACCACTTGTTGTTTGTTTTTCCCTTCTCATATTGGAAGTACTTAATACTTAACCAAATTGCATGAAACTTATTACAAACTTACTAAATGGTATATAGTCTTAGATTAAAAAATCATGTAATTTTATTATTTTACTGTGATTTTCTTATATCATATTTCTAAACCTTTGTGATGTTGATCAGAAAGTTCCAGTTTCAACTTGATTGGTATTCATTAATATATTTTCTTGATACTTAATTTTGCCAATTACAGAGTCAACACTTCTGGCTGTAAAACTTAAAAAACACGATAGAAACTGACAAAGATTTGTTGGTGACTTAGGACCTGACCTTTTGAAATGGCAACATGTCAGACTGATTAATAGTATTTTTTTCTAAGAATATTGTTAGTCAAGATCAATTTATATTTAATTAATATAAATTATATTCTGTAAATTATAAGTGATTTATGTACATTGTTTGAATATGATGGACTTAAAACTTATAATCAATAAATATAGTTCTGAGTTATTGGAATATTCTTTCTTTCACCTACTGTATCTTTTAAATTTAACTACGCTTACTTGATGTTATGGCATAGAAGAAAATTTCCTAGCTTTCAAAAGATAGTTAACACAAAAACTTTTTCAAGAACAAAATGCTGTTAAATCTTAAAGAGGGGGTGGAAACAAGAGACTATACTAATAAAATCATTGAAAGAGAAGGAAAATCACATAAAAAAAAGAAATAATTATATTCTCAAGAGATGGTATTTCTTAACAAACTCTTTAAGATGGGCAAAATTCTGAAAATTTCTAAGTATGTTGTTTACAGGTGAGACTCTTAGTTGGAGCTTCACAGATAAATAAGTTTGAACATTTTTTTATTGTTCTTTGAAAATTACAAAATTAACTGTTGCAAAATGACAAAATATCAATTTAAAAATTTTTTATGAGTTAAAATTGTTAAAATAGAGTTAGAAATATTATTTATAAATTTCATATGCACTTAAGCACTTAACATCTGAGAGGTGTTTTCTGGTCTGGATAGGGTTAAGGAGCGTCAAAATAATAAAGTGTGACTTAAACCATATTCTTTTAATTGATAAAAATTGTAAATAACCATCATTACAAGCTTATCTTAAATGATTAAAATGATATAGTTTTTATTTGATTTAACATGCTGGAATATTACATTTTCTGATATTTTGTTTATTTAATGAAAAATTACACTTAAATTATAAAGTCATCAGTTTATGACTTAATTTTTATGATGCCTCACCATGAAGCTGATTGTAATTTTTTAGGATGAAGTTCAGTCACTTATTGAAGACAGGGATTCAGCTAGAAGGCGTTTTCATGAGGAGATAAAACAGTTCCTTAACTCTGTCAGCCACCAACCTAATGGTGAAAGAACTACACTTTTGAAGGTCATTATCATTGTTTTGTTATATTGAAAAATAATCTAGTATTAAGAAAATGAACTATTTTGTTAGAGAAGAGCTCATATATACTCACTTTATGAGTGTGTATTCTATGTAGTTTCACCTGCTTTCTTTTAGCCATTCCAGGTAAGTTCAAGTCATTTTTATGGGTGGATATCCACATAAAAACATGGAGCATTCATGTAAGAAGTAAAATATATTTTTAATATGAATTCAGTATTATCTTTTCTACTATTATTAAGAGACTTGTATAAGTTACAGAAATAGTGTGTATCAAAAATTATCTTTGGAAATATATATTGATCAAGTTGTGTTTGAAATTGCACAGTAACTAGCATCATAGTTTGTAAAAATATTAAAAACTTGTTTGTAAAATAATGGTACTGTTTTAACAGTGGTACTTGGTTTAAGAAACTGGGGTTTAAATTCGTTTTTTTGTGATTTTTTTAAAGCCTGTGATAAGCTTGCTTTATCATTTTGTTCTTCATTTTAATTATCATGATAGGAAGTGTTTTCTAAGAGCAAGACAAGGTACATTGAACAAAATAGCACCAATCTAAACCTTGTAATTTCAATAAGAGTTTGGTTTTATCAATGCTAGCCAATCACAGTTTTTTCAACTTTGGTTGTACAGGTGTGATGTAATTGCTTATATCTCAATTTTGTGAAATTGTGATAAAAGCTCTTTTTCTCTGTTCTTTTTAACTTTTTAAGTCAGTATAACTTCCAGCCAAGTGGACACTTATGTAAGGATTGGAACAAAATGGTAACAGCTTAGCTTGGTGATATGTTGCTTGTAAAAAAGAAGTTTGTGAATAACTTCTGCCGCAATTACAGTTGTGATTTTTTTTAAAGCCTACGATAAGCGTGCTTTATCATTTTATACTTCATTTTAATCATCATGATAGGAAGTGTTTTTCTAAGAATGAGATGAGGTAGGCCATTTTGCACTAAACTGTGTGTAGTTTTTTTTTGTTAACAAAGTCACTGTTACTTAGACCATTTTTAAATTAGTTGTTATCAGCTTAACTAACTGTTTGAATGGGCAAAGAAAATCACAGTCAATAAATGTTAAAATATACATAAGTGAATATATAATGGCTTAAACTTATTACACACAGTAAATGAAACCATCTGATTAGAATTTTTAAAAATTTTGGCTTTTTTATAATTTTGGTATGGCAAAGTAATTTTTGATGTGTGCCAGTTATCATAAACACAGTGAAACTGCATGCTATTTTTTTCAAACCAAAGTTAAAATGTACAGTTTTAGAAAATAAAAACTTTATAGGAAAGTTTTCCAGAGTATAGGAGGACAATAAAAGTCACTAACTGAAATCAAAAACAAAGTTACAAATTTTCAATTACTTCTTTAACAAACAAAAAAAATCATAATGAAATTTTTTCCAGTTTTCAAAGGTCCAGGTTCATATAAATATCATTTATAAAAAATAAGATGTTTTATTTTCAGAAGCTACATAATCTGTAGAAAGTTTATCTCAAGTTTCAAGCTGTTTCTGGAAAGTTTGAAGTCTAATAATTTGGGTAAATGTTTGCACAGTTCTGTAGCACATGCATACTATAAGACAACACAAAATGTATATCTTTATGTTATAAATAAAATTGTTAAAACTTAGCATATTTTTGTGATAATAAGGAAATAGTATGAAATTTAGCCTATAGAACTTTTATTAGTTTCTTAGTTGTCTTTGTTGGAAAGTTAAATTTTTGATTTTCTCATATGATTTTAATTGAATTGGTTGTCACATATTTTTTTCTTATTAGGCTCTCTTGTCAGATTTGAATAAATTTTATCAACCATACCTGAAAATGACTTGTACAGGCACAGTTTTCTTACCTTTAGAAGAAGTAGCAAGCATTTATGGTAATATGAAGGTAAGAACCAAAATTGAAAGTTTTGAAAATATAAAGAAATAGTTATTCATTGTAAGGAAAAGTGAAACATGTAGCCAGAGTTTATATTTTCAGATCTTGTAACTCTGTAGGTGTATTTGTTTGCTACTTGCAAAACATCATTAAGTGTGCTTCTAACTTATTCATTATCAGGTGACCAGCCCTAATTTGTATATATATATATAAGAATATGTCATACACAATATCATATTTTATGCAATAAGTAAAAAATGCATTTTCTTCTCTTGAAAGAATAAAAAGTCAATTTTGACATTGCAATGAGCTAGTCCTTAAAAGGTACTTGTTTCAGTCAATTTTTTTTTTTGCAATTCTAGCTTTTAATAGCTCTGTTAGTATTTCAGACTTTTGAAAATTTTTTAAATTAAAAAAAGAGTAGGCTACATCTGAATTTCAAATAGTCTTGGTAATTTATTTTCAATTTGGTTCATTTTGAAACAGATACTATTTTCTGTAAATAAAGCTCATAATTAAGTTTTTTTTGGGTAATTGATCTCTTTCACTAAACATGAGTGTAGTTCTACAAAATCCTGTAGATGATTTTCTGTAACACGATTAATATGCGTTAGACAATCATTTGTAATATGGAGTTATTAATATACATAGAAAAAAAATTATTATTCACGAAGTTAAGAAACTTGGATAAAAACTTCGTTGTATCACTAAACTTTGTCTTATTATTATTGCATATTATCAAAGTTATTTTTACATAGGCATTCCATAATAACTAGAAGTATTTATATTAATTGAAAAAAAAGTGTTAAATGCAATGAAAAAGAAGCATTGTAGTGTTGCCAATAAAGTTTGCAGTGTATTAATAGGTTAGATTTTAGCTTTAAAAAAAGTTTAAATCACAATGGAAAATACTGTGGGAAAGTGAAGATCTTTGGACCTCTTCCCCCCTTTTTTTCCTCCTTTAGAATATGTTGCTGTTTGGAAAATTAATTATGGTCAGTTTGGTTCAAGACAGGAAAAAAAGTAATCTAATGTATTTTTTATTAATTATTTCATATTGTCTTGTACTTAAATCTACTCAAAAAATGCCCTCTCAAAAAATTTTAGACTCAAAAGTGAACTTCCCTTTTTTATCAGTTGCTAAATATAGACTTATAAAAGTTACCAGCTGTATTTGGTGCATGTAGTTCTAAGTCAGTATGAACTGTTTATAGAGTCAAAAACAAGAAGAAGTGCAAGAAGTGAGAAGACACACTGATGCTGCAGGAAAAAAAGTATCAGAAACTCTTCATGTCTTTCATCAAGTATGTGTATGAAATAATTTTTCTTGCTTATCAAAAATAGTGTGTAGCAATATTTTGAAATATTTATGATTACAAAAGGTAGTGGGGAGTGGGAAGATTGAATCTACATGTTCAACACATTAAACATTTTGTGACCAGGCATTCTGTTTCCCCTGGATACAGGGAAGACTTCTGTAATTTATTGTATATTTTATTGAAGAAAAGCATTACAAACTCTATATCATTGGATTCAGTGTGTAAAACCCTTATTAAAGCATGCCCATATGATACAAAGAATAGAAATTCCAGGCTTGCTACAGTAGGCCCATATGGTAAGAAAGAGATTAAACAACACATTTTCTTAAAACTGGGGCTAAAAAAAAGAATTAATGAATAGATATTAGCACTGTTATGTGTGTGTCATACTCTTGTTATTACCAATCACTTTAAATTCAGAAACATTTTCATCCACTACAACTGAATGATCACCTAAGAAAAATATTTCCTGAAGTCCATATTGTTTCCTGTCTTAAGAACATTCATGTACATGCAAAGGTTATCATCCAAGTACTAAAACATGTTGTCTAACCTGCAAGTTTATAGAAAAAAAGACCTTTTTGTTGCCCAACACTTTAACTAGTCTGGTCATTCTATTAATGATGTGACTCTGATCAGTGTTGAAACCAATTACAAAACTAAAGCCAACAGACAGATAAGAAAAGTCTATTGGATTACAACTTTAAATACAGTTTAACCCTTTCCACATGGGTTATGGGTCATAGGCCATGTCATCTCATTTGTTGACTCAAATTCAAAATTTTATTGAACTACTGTTTTATGAATTTATGTCAATAAGTTTGGTATCAAACTGTAGATTATATTCCAAATTTTAGTATTATACATTATTTAATTTCTTAATTTAAAAGAAAATATTAAAAAACATAGTTAAACATTAATTTTTGTGTGTCACCTAATATGGTGAATGCAGCACTTGTTCAGATTAGATGTTTGTGATGTCAAAATACAAAGTCTATAGTTTTGTACAAAGTAGCAACTCAAAATACCAATACTGATACGCTAAAAAATAAAATAAGACCCTTCTAT